CATATATGTGCAAAATGCTAGACAATTACTTCCACGACAGAAGATTAACATACAAATCGGCGGGAAATGAGGAAACAAAAAGACTGTCAARCAGGCGTTCCGCAAGGCCCGACGATRTGAAATGTGCTTTACGACGGCCTTCTTCGTCATGAGATGCCAGAAGGAGTAAAATTGATCGCGCATGCTGACGATGTTGCGATTACCGCAGTGGCCAAGAGCAAGCCCAAAGTAGAACGACTCCTAGAAAACGCGACCGAGGTTAGGTAATCCAATGGATGGAAGAAAATAGTATAGAACTAGCCATTCAAAAATCAGAGACAATCCTTTTTACAAGGAAGAGAACAGATAACCGAATAAGCATCATGATACGGGGGCATTCCATCGACTCTGGAGACACGGTAAAATACCTCGGTCTGCATTTTGACAGGAAAATTAAATTTGAGGAGCACGCGCGCAGAGTTACTGAAAGAGCAGACGACGTGACAAGGAAACTCCCGCGAATAATGCAGAACACTGGAGGTTCAAGAGTCGCCAGGAGGAAACTCCTAGCCACAGTCCCGCAGAGTATCTTGCTATATGGTGCCTCGGTCTGGGCCAGRCATATGGGAAAGAAAGGCTGGATTATGTTAGATAGGAGCAACAGGAAAATAGGGCTCAGAGTTATTGCCGCCTACAAAACGGTATCAAAACCGGCAGTAGAAGTACTGTCAGGGTTGTCCTCGATAGAGCTCATGGCGGAGTATAGAAGGAGTACGGCGACGGCAGAGGACAAAGAAGAAGCAAAGAATAGAATGATGCAAGAATKGCAATTGAGATGGGACCAAATGTATACTAGAAGATGGACATTTAGACTGATACCATGTGTAAGAAGATGGCACGAAAGGAAACACGGAATGATGGATTACCACCTTACGCAGGCCTTCACAGGACACGGATGTTTCTCATCCTATTTGCACTGGTTTGAGAAATTGGCATCACCTGCATACATGTTCTGCGAGGATCCAAACGATGACGACAAACATACACTATTCGAGTGCGATGCCTTTCATGCKCAAAGAAGAAACATAGAGATGACAGTTGGTAGCGAGCTCACACTGGAGAACATGGTGGAAATTATGCTAATCTCAGAAGCAAACTGGGATGCAAGACGTACACATATAACGACGATTTGGAAACGGAAAGAAGAGGAGGAACGAGAGCGACAATAAAGAATAGTAGTAGTAGTATAGAAGTTAAGATAAAATGTACACTAAACGTGAAAAATAGATGGGATAGAGCCCCTCAAACACGATGTATGCCCTAGAATTGTGAGGTACGCGAAATGTCCCAGATCACGGCCAAAACGCGATGTTATTTTATCTCAATAAATGATGGTGACTGGGGGGTTAAATGACTAACGTCTGTCCCACCCCTAGCCACTGATTCCTATGTAAAAAAAAAAAAGTTTTCATACACTTGTAGCCCAACACACATAATAAAAAAATATAAAAAGGATTCAGTCACAGGTCCTCAGTGGTGAATGGTTATTCATTTATGATACAGGGCGAGTTCCCATTTTCGCGAGTAAGAAAAACTCATTGGACTAATAAAACATAGTGTCTTTGACCCTATATAACAAGCGTCCAAAAAAAAAGTATATTTTACAGGCATATATTCCACCGTTAACTTGTGTCGTAAACGTAATATTATTATTAATATTATCCTTATTGATTAAATAATTTAGTAAAATTATGGTTATATAATTAAAAATATTTTAGATTCTGGGAGGAGCGATGTATTGATACCATGATGTGTTTTTTTTTTTTTGTGTCTGTCATGACGTTTTGGGGCAGTAAAAGTGCTTCGATTTTTGACTTCAGTACCTCGTTCGATCAGAAAGTGAATCTAATTGGTACTTTGGGGGGTCAAAAGTGAAAAATTCTTAATACTTTTCTAAA